TTAGCCAGCTTCTATTGACATCAAAAGACCCCAAGGATTACTTCTATGGATAAAATAATTCCATAGGTTGAAAAGGAGGGGAAAAAGAAAGTTAGTTTTACGGGTAATAATGCTAGTAGTAGTAGCAGTAGTAATAGTGATAATGGCAATAGTTAAGGAGCCAAAGAATAGAAGCAGTCATTGTTTTTCGAGACAGGCTTTGGGTCTGACTGCAAGTATTCTAATATATCAGACAAATTACCTATAGTATATATCTGGCATTTAAAGCGTGTTTTCCCATGCAACTCCACAAAAATTTATTTATTTTATTTATATATCATATGAAAAATACTTTATTCATTGTGAAAATTTTTACAAAATAATAAAAACAGATTTTAACACTATAAAAGAATCTTATATTATTTATAACTTTTATACCTTACTTTTGAATCCATTCATGGTGGATTTTACAAGAATGTGAATATGATCAAAAATAGGATCTTTAGAGAAATAATCACTAATTTTATCCTTTAATTTCATATTCTTATACAATTTTGTCTTATAATCTATCACACGCAAATTAAAAGCAACATCCTTAAATTTCCCTGCTAAGTGCATTTGAATTTGAGCTTGTAATATACTGACTAGTTCATTGGCTTTAATAAAAGTCACCATTTTCTAGCACTGATCATATCTGAACAATTCGCCAGTAAGAATAACAAAGAAAGAAAGGTTTATTAATTTATTAAGCTTTGTTTGATAAACTTTTGTAATTTCTTCTTGAGCTGATGCTATTAGTTGAGGTATATATGGGATTTTAGCATAATCTGCTCAATTTACTATATCATTAAAAGCATATGCTGAGTTTGTCATTCTAGGAAATATAGCTTCCCAGTTGCTTAATGATTGCAAATTTCTATGTTATCTATTTGGATCTTCAGCTCTTTTTTCCTTAAAATGTATATCACCTTCTGGAGTATGGCTTTCTGAATTACTAAATATAGTTAACCCTTTAATCTGCCCTGTCATCCTTTCTGTTTGTGTTTCTTTTATCATACCCAGCTCCTTAAGAAGTTCTATATTACTTAATTGTCTCATAAGTTTCTCCTAAGTACTCTTACTCTTTTGAAAATCTTTCCTGTGAGCGTCATATTACTCAACTACACTAGATCCCTCTTGAGCGTAATGTTGCTTAACCACACTAGATCTCTTCTTTTGAATAGAAGTCTTAGGAGCTTAGGTAACCACTTGAGATTTTTCTCTTTTTCAATTCTTTCCTTGGGTATGGACTATTGGAGTAGGCGATTTGGGTCTAGGAGGTGGAACATGTGTTGGTCAAACAGAATTAGGTATTGATGTTTGAATAGGCTTTGATTTAATAATAGGTTCAGATAAATTTTGATGACATTGATATTTTCTTTCTCGATAATATTTAAGTTTTCATAATTTGAAAAAGATTTTATTACATCTATCACAACTATAATTAACCATTATAGTATTATACTTAATATATAATACTTATAAAAAGTTTTTTTTTAAATATTAATTATATCTTGTAGGTTTTATGTCTTCCAATACTATAACAGACTGCGCTCTAAGACCCTATTGAATAGTAAATAGTCTATTAAAATTTTGGTATCCTGTTTAGAAATTTAATACCCTATTCAAAATTTTTGGTATCCATTATCATTTTTTTTGACTTAACGATTATGAGAAATAAATTGCTTTAAAATTGATTCTTATATATTATAAAATTACTGGTATACTGGAATATGATATATAGCTTTTAAACTTTATTATATATATACAGAATTTTGATATCCACTTTGAGATGGGTACTGAAATTATGATCTTATTAGGTGAATATGAATTTGCTTTAGAATCTATTCTAGGATATTATGAAATATTGTATGCATTTTTAGACTTGTATGATCAGATTCAGTTTAATCATGTCACTTTATTTCTTAATTTTTGATTGCCTCTTCAGAGGTAAGCAGAATAGCATAAAAGTTATTATTCATATTGGGTTTGCAATGTCAAGCCCAGCTCAAATTGCATCACTTCGTTCCTTGATTTTTGATAGTCTCTCTAAATGCAAACAGAATAGTAAAAGTTTTTTGATATATTATTTGGGATTAAAATTAGGCTAGAATGGCTATATTAATCAGTATAATTCTTAATATCTGAAGGCTAATTCCTAGCCAAGTTCGATATCATCATTTATATTTGAGTTAAATTGTGCTAGAGACTTGAATTTGATAATTTGATTCATATAGCTAGAATTGATTTGTAAGTGATTAGGAATCTTATTATGCACTATTTGGAAATTTTGTCCCTAGTCGCATATGACTTGCATAATATAATTATATTATGTAAGTCATATGCAACTTGAGTCAGGTCATGAAGGTAACTTTATAATCTGCTAGCAACTTTATAATATAATGGTAACTTCATAGTTTACTGATAACTTCATAACATAATGATAACTTCATAGTCTGCTGGTAACTTAATAATAAAGTGGTGATTTCATAGTCTAACGGTAGATGGTAGCGCTTTAATTTAATGGTGATGTCATGATCTAATGGTTACTGCTTTCTTCTTGTTCCTAATTCATTTACATTATAAATTTTACATTGTTGGTATTGGCTTTCTATCTTTGTTTAAATACCTAGTTCTATGTTGAGAATACTGATACTCTATGCTTGTTTGGTTGCTAGTTCTATATTGAGAATTTATACCTATTTGGTTACCTTTTAAAATACTAAAATGGTGTAAAAAAAGAGGCGATAGGTAACGCAATATATTTGCGATTAATTTTAGCCAGCTCTATAGTATAATTCTGGCTGATCTTTTGGACATGTAATTTTAGATCCCAGCTTGGCAACATGATAGCGTTATGATGGTATCATGAAACTGTTATAGAACTGTTAAGAAACTGGTAGGAAACTGGCAGGATGCCTGAGAGGTTCCATTTATTTGCCAGTTTCAATCCACTTATATGCTAGCTTGAATGCTGAATTATTACGCTCAAAGTTCTGGCCAAAATTGCGTTCTTATGAAATTAATACCAAATTTCATGGGATTCTTCATAAGGTCAACTTTGATGTCAATTTTGGGGATTCTTATTTGTTTTTCTATGTTTTTTACTATTTGCCCTTATTAACCCTATCAACCCTATGAAAAATAAAAGTTCTAGGAAAAAATCAAAATTTTTGTCATGTAAATTTATATGATATATTTTATGATATCATATATATAGTTGATATAATTGGTATATGGTCGATATATGATATAAAAAAAAATAAAAAAGGTAAAGAGTTTGAAAATTTATAGGAACTCATAGGGTCATATGGTCAAGTAGTAAAAATGCCTTCCCAGAGTTCTAAAATTACCAGTTTGCTATACTAACAGCATTCTTGTTAAGTTTTTTTGCCATTCCTATAAATTTTTCATAGAGCTAAATTTTTGATAAGTTATTAGGGCCAACTTATAGCATTAGGCATTTTCATTCTATTGAGAGTCTGACTCATTGCCTTCAGGGTCTGACAGTTCTGAAATATCTTATCCAACTTTTTTCGATGATAATATGCATTCGAGTGATACTTTTTTACATGCCAATTACAAAATCCATATTCAGAAGCTGTCAGTTTTTTACATCCATCTTGTTTGTATAGAGGTCACTAGCATCTTTTTCAGTGAATATAACATCCTTCTGGTTTTCTACTTTTCACCTACAAACCTCCTTTTCATTGGAACGATACTGGCAAATGTATTTACCGCCTATTGATATTATTCTTAGATAAATAATACTTTAATATCTATAATTATTTAAACTTTTTTGTTGAGATATTATACTAAAACAGTATACTAGATAACATATCTGAAAATTTTTACTATGATTCAATCTGAGCTTTCAGAGTTCCTCAATACCCCACCTCACTTTTTCACCCAGAGGCTGAAAAAGATAAAATGGAAGGCCAATTGATTCGCTATTCTGGTGAAAAAACTTGTCAAACATCCAAACACTGGATGATATAGTTGCAGAAAATGATGAGGGGTTATCTTCAATCCTCGAAGATACTTTATCTAACGATAAGATATTCTATTCATGACCATTGAGAGTAAGGATTAACAAAAAAGATAAATGGAACCTACCGCTATATATTGCGTCTTTATGGTCACCTTATTAATGGTCAACAGACACTGGTAACTCTTGTAGACATTCAAGTTTTCTTTGACATTCTCGTACCAGGTGGAGAGACTCCAAATGAATGTGAAGAAATTGAGCGAAATTCTTTCTGGCATCGTGAAATCATTTAAAATAAAGCATATTAAAGCTTTCACTTTTCGGGATTATCATACTGAAAAAAGTCATATTTATGAATTTATATGAATGGTACTGGAGAGAGAAAGAAAGCTATCCAAACTATACAAGAAAATAATTTCAAAACTGCTTCAAATAATTAATACTCATTCCACCGCAAAGTAGCTCAAGAAAATGGAATCCAACTCTCTAGATGATCCACAATAAACAAATATATATGCAAGAAAGATAAGCAGACCAACCCGCTCTGTTCACATGAATTTTATATATCTATAGAAGATTTCTGTTTACTAGAGAATTTCACAACAATAATGACTGATTCTTCATTTTAGCTCTCTTGCAAGATTGTACTCTTGTTCTCACTTGGAATATAGAGACCTAATCATGAGAGTTAGGTGAATTTGCTGAAGTCCTTGATCTAAATCATAATGTTTTTATGATTAGCATGACACTGCATTGGAAAGATGATTCAAAACCACTAAAGCAAATATGTCTTGTCAATGTTGAAATAGAATCAGATTTATGTTGGATTACAATCATTTGCAGAAATCAAGTAAATCTGCTAAAAGTTTTCGCTCTTTGCTGGTGAGAATTTGCTCCTGATATCCTAGTTGGATTTAACGATTCAGACTATGATTGGCATTTTATTATGGAGAGAGCATATCATCTCAATATACTCGAATGGATGTGAAAGCGAATGACAGAAAAGTTCAAAACAAAGGAAGAAATCCTAAAGTGGAAATACCATGGAAAAATAGGGACGAAATCTGAAAATAATTTCAAGATAAATGGAAAGAAAAAGGATACAGACAAAGAAGGAACTATATGGGATTCGGGTGAGAAGATTGAGGAAAAGAAAGATTATTTGGGAGCAATTAAGATCAAAATTATTGCGAAAGAAGATTTCTTTTCCAGTTTTCTTAAACTACCAGGTTGCATACTAATTGACATTTAAGTGTGTCTCAAAAAACGTTACCCCCGTTCTGAAGTCAAAAAGAAAAGGTCACTTAAATTCTTCTTAAAAAAGTGTAGCTTTGATACTAAAGCTGACATGCCATATGATTAAATGTGAAGAATCTATTCAGAAGCAAAAAAAAGACCCTTATAGATGCGTTACATTATCAGGAGCTTTTGGTAAAGCTAAGACAAATAAATGATTACAGAGAAGTTGCTTCCATAGTTCATGTATCTTTGTTCGACTTACACTATCATGCAAATGGAATGAAGATACGAAATCTTCTGGACGTTTATACTTTTAAACGTGATATGGTATTTAGCTCAAGAGTATGCGAAAATATAGAAAATAAAAAATATTCTGGCATATATGTTTTTTCACCTAAAAAGGGGATTGAAACAAGAAGATCTGTAAAGGGATTGGACTTTACCTCATTATATTCCAGTCTTATCATAGCTTATAATCTTTTTTCAGATAAAATAATACTAACACATGAAGAGGCTGATATTGCAGAAAAAAATGGAAACATTTTATATAAGATTGAGTTTCTATTCAATAACTGCACCATTCAAGCTTGGAGTGTAAGACATGATAATCAATTCAAAAAGAAGGGCTTATTTCCTATTATATTAGAGGATTTATTCAATACAAGAGTAAAGCTTAAAGCATATCTTGCCCACTAGAAAAAAAAAAGCTACAACTTGGAAAGATGATTAGTTCTGCTAAAAAAAGAGGCAAAAGGATTCCGAAAAGCTTAAATTCAGAATATTTATCCATATGTTTTGATTATGATTATTCAGATTCAAAATAAAGAGCTTTGAAGGTATATATGAACACTTTTTATAGGAAGGCAAGCAACTCAATATCTCTAATATTTCTTCGTGAATTAGCTGGAGGAACTACTTCAGCAGGAAAATATAACCTTAATCTTGTCGCAGAATTCATAATAAAGAAAGGGTTTGGGATAAAATATAGTGATACTGTTTTTTTATATTTTACCTGTCCAGATAAGTATTATGAAAATGTGATGAAACCTTCTCTAGAAAAGATCTTTCTAAAGAAGCGTACTGGAGCAAAATGGTCAAAATTACTATGAATGTGATGAAAAGCTTGCGTGATTAAGTAAATGCTTATCTTGGGATAAAAAATGATACATCTTATCTTAATATGGAATATGAAGAGGTATTATTTTCCATCTGCTTTGCTGGTAAGAAAAAATATTTCAGTGTACCACATGAAGAAGTGGTCCAGATGATCTCTTTATGAGAGGAATTGATACTGTGAAGCAAGAAAATTCTGAGCTCTTCAGGTTTATTGGAGAAAAGATTATGTAGGAGGCAATGAGTATCAATAATATACATTCAATTCATAAAATTGTTGAAGGCGCTCTTCAGAATACTAGATTTAAGCAGTGGGATTTTAATCAGTTTATTGTAATGCCTAAATGAAAGGCTAAAGGAGACCTCGCATGCAATAAAATCTTTATAGAGCGGATGAGAGAAAGAATAGCAAGCAGAGAAAAAAATATAAAGATTTCTGATTCTGGAAAACGCTTTAGCTATGTTGTAGTGAATGACGACCCTCGTTATAAAAAAGATGGTTCAAAATCAACAAGAAAGGGTGATTATAAGGAGTTTTCAGAAATTGCAAAAGAGTTTAATATGAAGATAAATATCGGTCACTATTTAGAACAAACAGTAGGAATGTGTGCACATTTTATCAATGAAGACAATATGTTCCTACTACTCTTATCAGATAAAATAATGCAGATTAAAGATTCGGATATAAGGGAAAAGTGGATTGATAAATATTTCCAGAAAAAGGCAAAAAATTGGCTTATAAAATATATCAAGAGTTTTCAATAAACTTTTTATATATTTTAAAAATTCGTTCGAAACTACCTAACTATATAGTTAAGTATACTTAGCTGAAATTACCATATCTCTGCTAGAATACTTAGCTATTAAAACACTTCGCATAATATTATTTACATATTTTTTTCTCGTGCAATAATACTAGCTAACTTCAATTCCTATCTTCGAACTTCCAGCCTCTGATCATACAGCTCAGCATCAGAAATACCTAGAGATAATAAAAATAGTTCCAGTTAGAAAGAATATTACTTTTTTCTTTCAGCTTATTACTCCATGAATCCCATATTTTTTTCCCAATAATCTATACAATTGCAAAAAGTAGTAAAGTAAGTATAATATATGTTATCAATAGTGACATTAAGGAACTCGTGATAATAGGAGCATTTGCTAGTAAAGATACCACTTCTGCATCACCTACAGAAATTGTCTGGAATATAGGAGAATTAAGAGTGAAAGGTTGTGACGAATTATTTATAAGTGGGGTGAAGTATTTACTTCATTATGTGAAGCACCCCTCAGCTCTTTTTTTGACAGTAATTCTTGAAGATGAGTGTTTTTCTCGAGTAAATTTGATTGCACTGAAAATAAAGAATCTATCATCTGATTGTATATATTATTTGATGATTCTATCCCCTTTCCCATACATTTTATTTTATGTTTTTTTGAATTAAGATTATCATTCACTTGCTCTAATTCGAGCCTGAAAGATTCTATTGCAGATAAGTCTATTTGGTCTGGCTTCTTTAGTAGTCCTCTCACTACAGTCAACTCTTTCTATAGCGAATTTTGATATAACGAATTTCATGATATAACGGATCTACAGTATGGTACAAATTTTTAATATAGAAAAAACCCCTTTTTTTTAACGATGTGGCACTGCTAGTAACTTTATTAATTATAAAAGAAATACATAGAAAAAACTTTTTTTTGCTTTACTAGGATTGCATCGATGATTACATAGTACGCACAGTTCACAAGTAGCTATATGACTTATTTGGTTTGAATCACTATTACCTTCCTTTGACACTTTTAAGCCCAGTGTGAGTATGCGAAGCCTAGGTACATGATTATTAAATACCCAGATAGACTGCCACATCGCTAATCCTGTGTGGAAAAGCTCATGATAATCATTATCATGTATATTCATCACTACTATGGAAATTAGGGTCATGAACAACCTAATATAATAGCCTACACCATAGTTAGTGTTGTCATGGGACATAGTTAGGACACTGATAGGACACTGATGGGACAGATAGGACATTTGGGACATATATGAGACATAGTTGAGACATATAGTTGGGACATATAGCTGGGACAACAAATGTTTGAGACATAGAAAATGGACATCACTGACCATAGTTGTCTCGCCATACGTCAAAATCACCTAAAGAATCGAATTCCGGCCTTAAAACCCTAGTTGTGATATAGGCACTATAATAATTGAAGACAGTGCAATATCAACCATCTATAACCTGTGGCTATTGTTTAATCCAAATTATACAGTACCTACCATTGATCCTACCCTCACAGGCATCCTTTGCAGATGATGCAGCACTTGTCAATTACAGACCAGCCTCCATTATCAGTTCTAAACTCAATTGGTTCATGATAGGTAAGAATATCTATTACCACTACCTGTTGTCAGGATGGTATTGATCTAGACAAAGTGAACTTACACCTTATTGGTGGTAGCTACCATCACACCTTATAGACATTTTAGGGTCACCATATTCTACAAATTCGTGATCTTTAATGTACATGGTATGTATATATCCTATGATATTCATTCCCAGAATTGAACTGGTAAATCCCGCAAACTTAATTTATTACAATCTACCTTGGCTAGGGGCTGAACTAAGGTCTATTGCAATATAACTTACGATGAGGCTTAGCGATTTACCACTAAGCTAGGATTGTCTGATCCTATAGAATAAACCTTACTATACCGCATTTATTAAAATAAAATTCATATTACGGTTAACGAATTTAAGTGTGTGAACATGCATTATATAAATGCCCCTTTATATAATACATTTATTTATAATAAAGATTTTTTTAATATAACGAAAATTTACAAATTAATTTTAATAGAAAAGATCATGAAATTTTGTAATTTTTTGTACCTTAATAAAGTTAACGAAAGTGCTTCGTGTAATATTTTGCAAATTTTTTTATAAATGTTTTTTTGTTTCGCATTTTTCGCAATTTTTTTCATATTTCTTTAATATAAGAATGCCGAAAGTAAGTTCTAGTAATGAACCTTTAAAAATAATGAAAGTCTCTAACTGCTGCATAAAAAAAAGAGATTTATTTAAAAAAACTTCATCCCTGAATATAAAGTTAGTGAGGTAAGATTAGTGACATTTTTAAAGAAAAGAATCGCTGGCTTGCTATAAATCCCGAATCATATAAAACTGGGTTGAAACATGAAAAAAAGACAACTTTTCCTTTTATTGAGAAAGCTTTAACTCTTTAGATAGAAAATACGCTCCAAGCTGGCCTTATTATAACCAATACTATTCTTTTAACAAAGGCTTTTTAGGGTTTGCTTTTTTGTTGTGATGAGGATAAATTTAAAGGTTCTAGTAGATGGGTAGACAATTTCAAGAAATGGTATAACTTATAGTAATATAATATACATAGTGAAGCTGCAAGTGTATTACTTGATGATCTCGATGTAATACGTAATAAATTCATAGTTTTCTTAAGAATTATGATCCCAATGATGTCTTTAATTGTGATGAAATAGGTTTATTTTAGAAGATGAAACCCAGTCGCACAATATCAAATGGCCAAGTATCTGGAACTAAACAATCAAAGGATCATGTAACTGTTCTACTTACATGTAATGCAACCAGAAATGAAAAGTTGGCTCCTCTTTTCATACACAAGTATGAAAATCCTCAGATCCTGAAAAATATTGATAAAAAGATCCTTTCAGTTGAATATTACTGGAATAAAAAAAGTTGGATGCAAGTATCAATTTGGAACAAATATATCAAGAAACTTAATGTAAAATCAAAATATTCTTCTTCTCATTGATAATGCCCCAACATATGCTCTATACGAAACTACCCAATTAACAAATATTATCATTAAACACCTTTCCCCAAACACTATGGCACATCTTCAACTCTGTGATCAAAGTATCATTAATAGTTTTAAGGTGAGAAACATATTCGATTTAAACATTCCTATATTTTATACTTTATTTATACTTTAATTCAAATTTAATTTATTTTAGGCATAATATTGAAAGCTTTATCTACAAAATCGAGTCAAATCTTTTGATCATTTCAATGATTATCGTATCGAACCTGTGAAAATTAATATTAAAAAGTGTGTGAATCATGTTTCCCAAGCATAAAATAATGTAACACAAGAGACAATTCAAAATTGTTAGTTGAAAACAGATATTTTACCTAATGATGACAATGATAATGACTAAGATGAAACCTTTACTAATATACAACTTGAACTTAAACGTCTAAGGGAATTGGAAGAAGTTTAAGTTTTAATTGACAAACTTGTTTTTAACGATCCTTTAACTGCCGAAGAATTTGTTCAATTTGATAAGTCTGAGATTACGGGAGAAATGATATCTGACGAAGAAATTGTAAAAGCATTCTACCTAATAAATAAGAATAAGAAAATAAAGGAGAAGAGGATCCTTTTCCGACAATTACTCATAATGAAGCTATTGATGCTTTTGATAAAGTAATTTTATATTTGGAATAATGGGAGGAAATTTTCAATATGAACAATCAAGAATTAAAGCTTATTAAAAAGCTTAAAAAAGAAACTTTGAAAACCAGTTTATTTCGACGAGACAAACCAATTGCAATAAGTTTATTATTATAATTAAATAATAGTATTTTTTTTTAACGTAACAACGTTAATAATAATTTGGGGCTATTTTTTTATTTTATAATTATTTTTTTAACGCAAAAACATTAATAATTTGAGGAGTATTTTTTTTTACATAATAAACGTAATGATATAATAAAATAGTGTCATAGAAACACAAATTTTAATGCATTGACTAAATAACACCCCTGCAATAGTGTTGAAATTGTGTTGAAAAATTCATATCATTTTTTATAATTTTTAACTAATTTGTAATGAATTTTTGTTAAACTTGTGTTGAAATTCCTATTGTTTTTTTACCAAATTGTAACGTCATTTTTTTATAATAATTTATATTTATCACCCATTATTATTGTCTCTAATTGTATAATCTACCATATTAAAAAATTTGCTTAAGTTATATTTGTGTTGATCTAATTTTATAAATAATACAACATTTGAATTATTTTTAGAATCCGAATCAGAATTTTAAACACAAAGAGTTTAAGCATTTCGATTGTAAATTTATTATATTATTCAAGGTATCAAATCAGAATTTTAATTCAATAATAAAGAGATTTTTCACAAGATATTAAATCAGAATTTCGATTCAATAATAAAGAAATTTTTTCACAAAATATCAAATTAGAACTTCAATTCAATAATAAAGAAATTTTTTCATGAGATATCAAATCAGAATTTCGATTCAATAATAATGAAATTTATTTTTAAAGGGAAGTATTTTACCATCATTTAATTTTTCACTTTTGAAACTTTTAAAAAAAATAATCTCTTATTAATTTAAATAAATCTACATAATATTTTCAAATTTTTAATTTTTTACAAATAAATCATTATAAAAATGGCTGTTGTAAGAATCATTTAGGAAGATGTAGAGACCAATTACTTGGTTAAAGAAAGGAGAAGAAGAAACCACAAATATCATTATTTTTATCGTGGAAATAAATTGAAATTTTGGCAGAGCGTTACGAGAAGAAGTGGATAAATCTGGTGAGGGATTATTAGGTAAGTAAATAAATAAATAATAATATGTTGATAAATATAACTTAATAAGTAATTAATATGTATCCTTTAGGACTTTTGTGATTGGCGTAATAGTGTAAGAAGAGGAGGAAGGTAGTCGTATAATGGGAAACGATTTTATAATCTATTCTGAACTAGGTTTTGGGATAGACCAGGTAATTATTATGTTTAATTAATAGTTTTTAATAAAAATTTTAGGAATTTTTAGATTTATATTAAGTATCTTTTACATTTTTTAGTTATAAGGCATCATCGAACGAGAGCTTGTAACATGTCGACGGTGAACCAGTAGTTGGAAGATGGGGAGTAGGGGGTTTAATTTTTTTTGTTTTTTTATTGAGATTTTAATTTTTTTTCATTTTTATCATAGGGGTTTTATTTTTTTTTAATTTCTTTTTTTTACCGGGGTGGGTTTTTATTTTGTAGTATTTTATTTATTTATTTTTTTTTATTTTTTTTTTGTATAAATAAATAATATTAATTAATTGTATTTTGAACCATCATTAATAAATTTTCTTACATTTTTCTTTTGTTTAATGAAGAGATCTCAAAACTTTTAAAAATAAATTTATATTTATCATTATAAATTGTTTTATTTAAGATTAATTCCAATTTTTGCATTACCAAAATTGCTTCAAGATCACTTTAACTTTAACCACGAAGAGGTTATTCTATAAATGATATCATAAAATTAACTTTAATTATATCATAGTAAAATTATGTTTGTATTTTTCTTTTTCAGTAATTATTTATTATACTGAATAATTCGTTATAGTAATAATGAATTATTTTATAATAAAGGGCTAATCAGCTTGAACACTAACTTCATTATATTGAGATGTAATTATATATGCGAATCACATTCTAGTTTCAGATCTAGCAACTTACCTTCTAATTCAACTACCTTAGCTTCAAGAGAAAGTGTCTTGATTTTATCAGCAGATGAAGCTTTCTACGCTAAAGTCATCTTTCTCTTTAGTGTTTTAATATTTGATTTAAACGATTTGATTTTGGCAGAATAATTGGCTTGTTCTGCTTCATGCTCACATTGACTCTCAGGATGAACTTCTTTTCAGAAGTAAATTGGGATCTAAGCTTAGTATTTACACTATTTAACTGGCTAACTTTATTTTCAATATCAGCATAGATTTGATGGAACTCCTTTTCTCGCTCATTGTATTTATCTACTAGCTTTTTAGTGAGATCATTAATATTAGAGTTAAATTCAATAATAGATCTTAATTTTTTTCAAGTTCTTGCTCATATGCACTACCCAACTGATGTCCTCTATCTTTTATATCTTTCAGTATACGCATATTAGACATAATATTGGTATGGTTATATAGCAAAAAAAAATATGTTGCAATTTTTTGAGACTGCATAGTCCCAGAAATTTCAGAAGCACTTTATTTTTCCATAAATACTATGTATATTAATACATATTGGTAGGCATTGAAAACATATTAATATACATTGAAGAGTATTAATACACATTGGTAGGTATTGAAATATATTAATACACATTGAAAAGTATTGATGTGTACATATTGACATGCATTGATATTTATTGAAAAGTATTAATATTTTTTCTAGTATAAAATCAAGTGAAGATGGTAGCCCATTTCCATGATATATATTATGCTGCTAAGGCAACCCTGTTGTTGTCAGAAGCTGATATCAAGGAAATTAGAGAATCAAGAGGTAAGATACCCAATGTATCAAAAAAAATGGCTAATAAATTTCATATTGGACCTAAGCATATTTATGAAATATGTAATAATAAAGAACGCCTTCAGCAAGGAGTTATTTTATTTTCCTCTGGTCAGCCTGTTTTGGATGAGAATTCCCAAACTAATAAGTTAGAACAGATTGAGTCAAGTATATATAGCCAAGTGTTATTTTAGGCGGTAAGGCAAAAAAGATTGGAGGAACTAAGCTAAAAGAAAAATTCAGGTCTAAGTTCGTTCATATTTCTGAACCATCCATTACTCAAATACATTCTTTAGAATCGATTTAACTAATTTCCATGAATTTTGAAAGCTCAGATATAAATAAAGAGGAATTTTATGTATTATATGAGAAGGTGGAAGAAAGGAGCATAAAAAATATAGTGAATCTAAAAAATAGATTAGAAAAATAACTCACTTATTCCTATTTTTTCTCATATTCATTCGAAAAGATAACCTATCAAGATACACTATCAGTATAAGTTATTAGGGTAGACTATCTTCTGCAAGTGCTGAAGGTACAAGGAAGGGGATCAATAGAGGGGAGTTCATCATAGTGTGTCTGTAATTTTTCATAATATTCATTAATTTCTGCATTATACTTAAGAGTGCTATATAGCATTTTTTTAAGCTCCTTATCACTCACTTTTTTTTAATGTATCATCCTCATTTAAGTCTTGCAAAATTCTATCTGGAGTCAAAGAATCATTACACTCAGGAATAATATTTGCACAATTCACCTCAAGCTTATTCTTGACCTTATACTTGATTGGAATAAAAAATTTCTTACCATTACACTCTAATCTCAACTCCCACTTTGATGCAAGCAAATCATAATTATATTTATTGAGAAGTGTGTTTGACAAATTAGCATCGGCTTTCTTAGATGATTTTTGATTACTGTGAAATCAGAATATATAATACATCCAGGAGCAAAATATACAGGCACATTTTTAGTTATACCAAGCAATTCTATAGGGACTATAGCAATGCCTTTAAGGTCATGTTTTTCATTCGTATCAATTTTTAGTTTTAATCATTTGGCTATATCATCAGTCATAATTGCGAAATTAGCATTAAGATCAATCACAACACCTGGGATCACCAAGCATTTGATTTTATATTTTACTGTTACAATATCTGTAGTAGAATCCTTTTTCTGAATAAAGTCGATTTCCATTGGATCCTCCAAATATTCTTCCTCCTCTAGGTCTGATAAAATGTCTTTGGTAATTGAAGCTTTATCATTCTAAAACTCTGAATAGAATGCACTTGTTTTGGTGTATTAGCTTTATTGGAACCAGAAACAGAGTCTTAAGAAATTAATGCAGGAAAAATTAATTTAAGTTCACTTTGGAGAATTTTACGAATATTTTCTTCCTTAGTGTTTCGTTTAGCCTTACCAGATCTATTTATTGGCTTCTCAGAATCTATTTTACCAACCAGTTCAGTGGATTTAGCCAAAGATGTTATACTATTAGACTTGTTTTTTTTCTTAGAGCATTTCTTAGATGATGATTTCTTGGAACTAGATTTCTTAGAGTTAGACTTCCGCTTTACTTTTTTTTTATCTTAGCTATATTAACATTAAGCTCACCTTCAGAATCAGAAGAATCAGAAGAACTTGAATCAAAATCAAAACTATTACTAGATGAAATATTAGAAAAAGAATCTGAATTTGAATCTAAAGCCAGATCTAAAGTATCGAGATTAACCTTACCTTTTTTAGACTTTTTCTTTTTCTTTTTCTTCTTTCGAAAACAGTTGCGAGAATTATGTTCAGGCTTACCACAGATAGAACATTTATGTTGTATTTTTACAACCTTTTAATAAGCCTTAGCTATATACAACTTTAATTGTCTTTTTGTGAGCTCAGAAAGTTCATCATCAGAATCAATCTCAACCTTTTTATTTGGCTTTGATGGTAAAGTAGGATTAGGAACAAGAACAAATTCTGGGGTCTCTCCTGTAATTCATAATAAAAATCTGCCTATATTCTCATCTCATAAATTTTTATGCGTTCTCACAGGTTATGGTTGGAATTGTGATGAAGTCACTTGTTAAGGCTGTTGAGATTCTGAGAATGCCATTGTATTTTTTACTAAGCTCTTGATTTCATTTCTAATTATCCCTGATCTGTTAGTATCTACATATAGGTTGGCTATCGGAAAAATTGGAAAAGAAGACAATGTGCTCTTTTGAGATAATGTATAATTTTCTACTTATCCTGTGTATCATGAAATTTAGCCATCATTCAAAGATTATATTGATTCATTGAAGACAAACCACAAATAAATTACTCTCTTTGCTAATTATGAGTCATTTCAGCTACTTTACCAATCTTTTTAATTCTAGTAGAGAATTGCTCAACTGACATATCGCCTTACATGATTTGACCAAAAACTGTAATGTGTTTTAAGTATTCAACTGTTGTATAAGCGGTTCTAAACAGGTATAAAAGTTGACCAAGCTTAATACTAGAAGTAATAGTAATAGCAGGAAGATCACCTCTGGCATTAAATGCTACTGGTGTATTATCTATAGGTTTGCTACCAGTTATAGATCAGTCTTTATCTTATATTCCATCTGGAACAATATCAGCACCTATTGCAACTCCTGCTCAAATTCTACCAATTTTGGCAGCTACCTTACCTTGGAATTCTCCAGCAGTATTCAAACCACCAATCTGATTACCACCATTTCTAGCATCTATTGCTCAAATAGCAGTTAAAGTAGCTACTTCCAAATTGTCTAAGAGATTATTACATCTTCAATTTTTACCTCTGACGCGAGTTAAATACCAATTTAATGTATCACTTGCAAGGTATGATACTACTAATCCAAATGCCTCTTCTCTTCCGGGAGCCTGACTTGCATCAGACACAACATTTATTCGACTAACTATTATATATATTTGCATATCTTTAAACCAATCTTTTGGATCCTCTCCAGAATAACCATAAAATATTAGGGTCCGTATCCTACCATTCCTGATATATTTAATGGATTATTCTGTAATGCTAAAATTTCTCTCTGTAAATTAAATATTATTTGACGTTCTTCATATGTCTTATTTTTCCACTTTTCATATCTATCAAAAAGCTGATCTCGATTATATTCTAGTACCCCTTATCATCTTGACATTTATGCAGTTAAGCTTTCAGTTACGATTATCTTTCCTTGTATCAACTCATAAATCTTGTACTGTTCTAGCCTTGCGAATCTGAAATTGAAAAAAAAAATGATAAGTATTTTCTTGAAATAATCTAGCTTTCTCTTTTTCTAGCTGATCATTAATAGCTCCTATATTATCATCATAGAATGGAAAATCTGGCATAGAATCTTCCTCCACATCTATAATACCCCTTAATTCACCTAAAATTTCATTATCAAATTCTAAACGAGAACTTGACATTTCAGGAGAAGAAAAAGAATTTTTACCATATATAACTTGTGTCAATTCTTAAACCCTTTTTTTCACAGTATTAGCAAGGCCTATAACATTTAAAGTTTTCTCATGCTCTTTCTCTAATAATCAGCGAACCTCTTAGGAAGATAAGTTTTCTTCTGGTTCTACTGAAAGCAATATTAAAGATGGAATACTAACTGATAAACCATCATCAAGTTGCTCACTTAAATTGTAATGATGCCTAATAGATCAATCGAATTCTTTTTGTAATGTTCCAATAGAAACTCTCTCACTAGAGGAGCCTCCAGAAAGTGAACGAGACTTTTCTGTTATTTTAGCAAGATCTTTTTGTAATATTCTATTTAGGGTTTCTGCATTTTCTAAAGCATTTCAGGTATCTTATAATTCTCTATCACGCTCAGCTATTATTCTTTCAGCTTGTAAAAGATTGTCTTCAAGATTTTTTAACTAATCCCAAACTTTGCGTAAATTTATTTCATTATCAGCAGTACGCTCTATTCATTTTAAACAGTTTACCCAAATAGTAGCATGATAATTAATTTTTTTGCATTCATCTATTTTATATGCATGGTCTTATTTTCCCAATGCATCTGATGAGCTAGAAGCTATATTGCTTGATAGAAGTTGATTATGATCTGATGATGAGAATGATAAGGACGATGAAGAATATCTTGTTAATAGTATTGAAGGGGTCCCTCTAGGATCAGGTATAAAGATAGTTCCCATAATTATTTTAAAATTTTTAACTAGTTGCAACTTAAGTTGCAACACTTTAAGTTGCAACATTTTATGAATTTTTATATTAAAAATAATTTACAAGGAGTTGCAACTTCTTAATTATGATGCCTATCTTTAATCAGATATATTCGATGAGACCATGATAAGATCACTAATCCTATTTTTTAGCCAAAAAATCTCTTCATGAAGTTTAGATAATTCTTCCGATATCTGATCTTCTCGAAAAATTATAAATAGCAATCTACACTTTGCAATCTTTTTCAGATTATGGATTTTTATCTCTAATGCTATTATCTGACTTTTAAGATTAAATATCTTCTGCTCTGAGATCTCTTTTATTATACAATCGAGATATCTCTAGCTTACTATAATATAAATCGCATTTTAGGAATTGTATTCAACTCTTATATACTTCATTTTCAGACATTAGCGCTATTTTATCTTCTTTTTTTATAGATAGTTCTATCTTTTTGAGAGATAAGAAAAGGATGAGTAAAGAAGCAAGGGTTCCTATAATCCAAATAGATCCTGATGAGGCTCATAGTATAGAATAGAATCTTATTTTACGAGAGATATATTATTGACTTACTGGATATTTTTCTAACTCTAAAACCCTAAGAAATGTGTATAAAAAAGAGAAATACCGATTCAGACTTCAAGCTGTAAATGAGTGGTTGAATCAACAAGAATTATACCAGATTTATAATATCTCCAGATTTAGCTATAGGCAAATAACATGACCAAATTGTATCTATCAATGCGATATATTATTCCTGACCCATGATTGTTATAGAAGTAAGACTTATAAGCAGTATTTAATATAGTAGACTGTGCTTCAATATTTACAGCTTCAGTTTTGCTTAGGTTAAAGAGTGCTATGAAGTTGCTAAGCATTTAGGAGAATATATAAGAGTCAAAATAATCCATTGACATAGTTAAAACTTCTAATATGTGACAACCCTATAAGAAATTTATATACGGAATTGTATACGGTAATAATACGTTTTAA